TAATAACAAATAAATAAATACAAGTACTATAATAAAAAATATAATCTAATACTGGTATAAAGAAGAATGGAAATGCTATTTTATTAGACCCTCACACATATGCGTTTGCTTCACACCTCCTCTTTTCCCAGTATACAGCATTGAAGAAATATTTGGCATTCCGCTTTGAAGAAATGCCGTTTTTATGCTGATAGAAGAAGGTTATTCTATAAACATCTAATCAAAGGTTTACACTAAGCAGCCCGTTGTTTATTCTTGCTATTGTTACAGTGCATTTGGAAATCAGGCAGATCACAGCACTGACAGATATCACACAGGGTAAAGCATAGACCGCATGTCACAGCTTTCCATGGGTAGCAAGACTTTTCATGCCAATTCCACAGTCCCTTCCATCAAAGTCAATTAGAAAGTAGCCATCAGGTCCATATAATTCCTGACAAACTTCCTCTCACCTCTGAACGGAAAGGCTTGCTGCTGGACAAAGTTTTCTCCTGGACCTTTCAAAGAGTCCCTTGTTCTTCTTCTTGGTTTGAATGGAACAATTATCAGTAATTATTGGGAAATGAGCAAGAGTCATTGCAATTCGAAAGCCACCCAGAATAAACTAAGCTTTGTTAAAGGGTCATTCCAGGGCTCTCGGTAGCCCCATGTTTTAGATTAACATTCTGAAATGGTTACATTTGACAGCTTCCTCCTTCATTCTCATTTTGAGAACAAGCATTCATGCCGCTCAAAGATAAATCAGTTCCAAATTCAAACCTTCTGTTCAATAGTTACTATAATTAAAACATTATATTCTTAGTAATTACATCACTTTATCTCACGTTTCTTTCTTCCTCCATTTTGTTCTTATTTGGGATATCTAAATAACCAGGGGAAAATGACTGATCAATTTGTTTGTTCCGGGTTTTTGTTGGGACTAGCTAGAGCCTTGGATTCATTTCTTGTTTCGATTAAGACATGGAATTTAAGGGACACTTTCACCATAACATTACATTCTATTGAATGTAAAAATACAAACACATGAGCATGAAATGTCTTATATAGTTTTCTCATATGGAAATCTGTTTCATTATTCTTCAGTCTTTAGGAGCACCAAGTAAATGCATATTTTTCACATAACAATTAAAGGGTCCCTATATGAAATGTCACAAATATTGGAACTTTGATCTCTCAGCTCTGAGAGTGACTTAGAACTTGTAAAAATTGCTCAGCTTCTCAGAGCAGAAGTTTTGAAAGGAAATATGTTTTTTTTTTTAACAAAGTGTATGATAGGATCCTTCAGCCATATACATGTACCTTAGGTCAGGCAGTTTTTGAAAACCGACAGTCTCTATCTTCACTGCTTCACTCCCTGCACAATACAGGGAGACTAACTGCTGGCTTTTAAACACTGACTGATCCAAGGTGCATGTAGGTGACTACATTGCAAGACTTCCATCATCTAAATAGAGAATGGAGCTCCAGCTAGGCATCACCACAGCAACCACAGCGCGTGCACTGTGGTTGCTATGGGTGGAGAGTCGAGGAACCTCCGGTGGGAGGACTTTTTGGCTATCTCTGTCTCTCAATGCCTCTGCATAGGTTTTTCTCTTAATCTACACATTTGCTAGCAAAACGTCTGAATTTGAAGCTCTTTTCTTAAATACTAAAGTAGTTCTGAGCATGACAGTTTCCCTCTAAATTCTCCAAAATCAGATAAAATCTGATCTGTAGTGTATGGGAATTATATTGAAACAGAGGCAGTTAATGACCAAAATAAAACATGAATGACCAAGAAAAAGGTTACAATTTTGAAACCCCCCAGAAAACTTGAAGAGGTTAAGGTTGAACTTGCTGATAGTATGGATAAGTCACATAATAGAGCCTTTCTAGTTCGGCTGTACCAACAAGGGTGTGAAAATGTTATAGGGTTGAAGCCTATGATGGTTATGATAACTCTAAATTCTGTATGGGAGATAGTAACTGGGATAATGCTGCTAGGGTTAAAGTTTTGTCAGTCAGTACTTTAGAATCTGATTTAGATAAATAATACAAATCCATTGTTAACCAAAGAATGAATATAGTAGATGTGCAAGGTGCTTCTCAGTGGCTAGAGTGATCTCTGATGGAATATGTTGCAATGGGTCAGATATCGTCTAGACAAACGGACCAAAGATGAATTAGGTACAATGCATTTCTTTCTAAAGATTCAATTCATAGATAAAACTGGATGAACAGTTAAAACATGCATTTAGTTTTCACTGAAATTATTTCTTAATGTGTTGGGTCCTTTGACCAAAGAAAGTGGTTTAATTGGACAAACCATGGATAGCTACCTTCACAGTTTGGCTTCAAATAGACCAGTTGGCATAGAAGATGGATCCAAAAAGTGTCAAGTCTGGTTGGCAACCTCTTTGTTTATTGAAAGTTGCAAAGCCATTTTGGGTAAAATAAACTTTTTCTGAACCTGAAGTGGAAATAAAGTGAATTTAATAATTTTTTGTTTGTTTGTTTCCATTTATTAAGGGACAACATGAGAGCCTGCATTATTCTTGACAAGTTCTAGACATCACTGAAAATAGGGTTGGGGGGAGTAAGGCACTGTTTGCTCTGCTGTTTAAATACAATAATTTCCTTTACTCCAATAGAACTGTTTGGACAAGTCAAAACATTAAATTTTAAAAGTTCCACTGTGTTCGAGGACATGGATCAAATGGCAATTTAATTTTGTGACAGCAGATCATCAGATTGTGACGTCAGATTTCACAACCATTTTTACTAGAAAAAGTGGGATGGTGACAATCATTTTTCCAAATGTGGGCAATCATTATACCAGTTCTTTGTGGGTTTTAAGGGCTTGTTTATAAACAACATGATTCTGCAGAAACATGTCACAAAACTATGTAATAAATCTTTTAAAATATGTTTGAATGGTAATGATTGATTTGATTACTAGATACTTACCTATCAAATTAAATAGTAGAAGGTCATTGGATCACTAGAGGTATATGCATTCTGTGTTGCATACAATTATGTTTTATAATTATTTTTCTTGGACACTTACCGGTACCTTGGTGCTTTGTCAAGGATATGAAACCAGACCCAACCTCTCAAAAGCATGAGAACACCCTTCAGTGGCACATATATTGGATGGTAAAACATCTGAAAGGTTTGTTTCCTTATATACATATCGGAAATCAGTTTTCACTTTTATCCTCTTCACAAAGAATATATTCTGGGATTACGGTTAGCTTGAGAGATGGAGTTATTAAATTAGGATTGAAATAAAGTCCAGTAGAAATGAAATCCATTAAGTGCTAAAAGGCAAAGTGTTAACAATAAAAAAAATATAGCCAGTATTATACTGATGCCTTAGCATCCATTCAGGCTTTGGACACGGAATCACTATGGTAATTGTCATAGTGTCCCAAGCATATAATATTTTGAAATAGAAGATATTTGGAATGTGTCCAGTAACTGTGGCATAATTGACAGCAAGACATACAGAAAAGTCCAGGATGCGTACTATATCATATTTCTTAGAATGGTTTATGAGTCTGTTTGTGCTAAAAAAAGTTTTATTTTTCAAAAGATACAATTCATTGCTACATTCATCTGAGAAAGGAAGGATAACTGTTGCCGCTATGTAAATCACCGGTGGAGAGAAACATTTAGGTTCATACGGAATATATAATGCTCTTGGCCAAGATGCTAACTGGTTGTAATTCTAGATATCTGATAGATCACAGCAATTTATAATTTGACTTATGATTAAGATACTAGCTGAAATATTGTGTTTTTTATTCCTTGGACCATGCAGTAAAGACTACTTATTTTGACTGGAAGATTGTGGATCAAGGGTAGGTCCACGGATAGTAGGCATCTGCCCAACAAGTAAGGAAATCCAAGTGACCTGTGAGCAGAATTTGGTAATCAGTAATCTTATTGGAATTATTATTAATACTGCAAATTTACTTATCTGTAACTGAACTAAACGTTCACTTTATACAGTTTTACAGATGAAAGTGAAAATTACTCAGATGCAAATTAACCCGTGGCTATAAATGGCTTCATTTTACCATTACTGACATGACTATTCTTATATTAAACAGAATTATCTTAATTTATATTCAGTTTGATGATTAAGTGGTGGATTTACTCCATAGACACATAATTGCCAAGTTTTCTATCAGAAAGGGGCATCGCTAACATGCCGAGATCGGGCATGTCAGCGGTGCAGTTTCTTTCCATTGTGATGGATATATATTTGCACATTTTTCACAGTTTAAGTCAATCGGGACATGCCATCATCAAAGAGTGTTATCCTTGTATTCTTTGGGCCAGAATATCTGGACGCCTGCGTAGATGGCCAACCTGAACTACCCATACATAGAGTGCTACTGAAACCCTCTCATGTCAGCTAAACTACCCTAGAACTACACTGGACCCCTTGCTGAATACAGTGTAACAATAGTCTAACAATATGCTAACTGCTCAAAAGCAGTGCATCAGAGAAAACACCTGGGACAAAGTTTACTAGATTTATGACTGTCTCATTTAATGGATTACTTCTAAGGAGTCTGGCCAAGCAGGGGGGCACACCTGGGTTTTTGATTGTAAACAACTCATAAAATACCTCTCCTTGCTTCATGCAGTGCACCAGAGTGATGTTGTGATTATCGCTCCTCTCTGTGTGGAGCAGATACTAAGGAGGTTTTTTCACTCAATGCTCAGCAGGTTTCTTCCTGAACAACATAGAGCATGGTTATACTCTCATATCGTAAGCCTGCCCCTTCCACATACCTAAACTCCATTGTATACTGGAACCAGTGCAGCACAGACAAAGCCGATTGCTACAGAGTGCCCAACAGTCAAATCAGCAAAACTACAGGAGCCATTAAAAAAGAGCAAGTGGAGGGTAGGAGGGTGAAAGAGTCATACAAATTAGTGGTGGGAGGAAGGATTTCCGCTGACAAAGCACCATGGGAAATGTGGAGCTACAGCGCCAAATCTAGCCATTACACTGCATTTACTGTGATGCTCGATAAGCGAACCATTTCCCGTGATGCTCGATAAGTGGACATTTCCCATGATGCTCGATAAGTGAACCATTTCCCGTGATGCTCGATAAGTGGACCATTTCCCATGATGCTCCATTTCCCGTGATGCTCGATAAGTGAAACCATTTCCCATGATGCTCGATAAGTGGACCATTTCCCGTGATGCTCGATAAGTGAACCATTTCCCATGATGCTCGATAAGTGAACCATTTCCCGTGATGCTCGATAAGTGGACCATTTCCCGTGATGCTCGATAAGTGAACCATTTCCCATGATGCTCGATAAGTGAACCATTTCCCGTGATGCTCGATAAGTGGACCATTTCCCGTGATGCTCGATAAGTGAACCATTTCCCATGATGCTCGATAAGTGAACCATTTCCCGTGATGCTCGATAAGTGGACCATTTCCCGTGATGCTTGATAAGTGGAAAGCATGGCTGAATGGAGTTGAGAGACTCAGTCATTGGTTTTCTAATGGACCCCCAAACTTCTGATGTAATCCCCGTGTACACTAACCATGTGTAGTGAACATGCCATTTTGTATTTGTGCTTTCCTATATATAGAAATGTACAGTGAGCTAGCGGCTTTCTTTCATGAGATTGCCAACAATTGGACATAAATCAACATGTCAAACACTGTTTACTAACTATGAGTGGAAAGGCAACTTTGATGTTAAACAATAATGTTATGATTTCATTGCATTACAATGGTACAGACGTAGTTTGGCTGTCTCCCTGTTACATTAATTCCTAGAATACATTATCTATCTTAGTGATCAACTAATGCAGGGGTGTTCGAACATTTCTTGCTGAATGCCAGTTTTATAAAAAAGTAAAAGGGATGCAAATATTTTCCTCTCTTCAGAATTAAAAGAACGTTTTAAACACATAAAGTACTTTTGCATTTTAAAGTGCTTTATGTGTGAGAAGCATGTCTTTTTTTTCATCTAAGACAAATACATCGTCACTTTTATAAATGAACCTTTTATACCTTCTCAGCTGTCAATCAGACAGCTGTTTCTGTTACTTCCCAGTTGTTTCACTCTGTGAAGCTAAACCCATAAGGCAGGTAATTGTTCAGAGCAGTCACTGAGAGATCTATGACTGATCAACCACAGAAGGTCTGTGCTGCAGAAGAACAGGAGAACTTGCAGTAGCTGCAGGTGCTAGATCTGCAGCTATTGCAAGCCATGTGTTTTTATATACCCTCAAAGAAAACATGCAAAACAAATGACATGTATATTTTCTTTGGGAGTTTATCAACTAAACTGTTATAATTTTTATGTAGTGTTCATTTAAGAGTGGAGGTTACAGAGTAGCAGCAGTAGATCTATATTCTTGTTTTTAGACAGGAAAAAACATCTTTCAAAAAAATAATTACAGAATAAAGATCATAAAACATTATAAAATTTTAATCTATATAATTATTAGATTTTCATGCACTTCTGATATGCTACAGTCCGCTCTGTGACACATTTACCCCACATTTCCTCATACTTATGAGAGCACCATAACAGCCCAGGATATACCCTTTTTTTCCCCAAACTCCGAGCAACAATCTGCCACCTACTAAAGACAGAAAAAAGACAAAAGAACCTACCTCTACCTATCTCTGCCCCAACACAACTTACAAGAAGGGGGCATAAATGGTGCTAAAAGTGCCCATTATCAGCCAATTCCTTTTAAACATGCAGGTGTAGGATCTTTAAATGTTCAGTCTTCTGATCCCTAAGGTCTTTTCCTTGACACTAGAAGACCCTTTCATTGTTCATGGTAACCTGTGATCGCAATATCTACAACAAACTATCTGGGCAAACCATAATTAGCACTAGGAGGAGAATGTGATGAATCTTATACAGAAAATTGAGGGCACTATAAAATATAGATTATATTAAATGAAGCCACATGAAACAGGACCAGTTTGGCAAACTAGACTATGGAGGGAACAAGTCAACAGAACACAAACTATATAATTTCAAAGCGTAACTTGGTTTAACACTATACATGTAACTTTTTATAAACACATTAAAATGATACATGATTATCCTAAAATAATATAATCTTATAGATATTACCATTTAAAGTTACATTAGGAAACAAACTGTTTATATTTAAAAAACTAAACTATTAGATACTGCTTTTATATTAAACCCATGATCATATACTTGAGGAAGGACCCTTAATTTAATGTGTTCCTTGCAATGAAGATTTTATATCTGTCTCTCGTTTCCATGGCGGTGAAAAGTTTCACATTCCAAAAAGCACATCTCCAGAATCTTATAAAATGCATCTGAGGAATGACTTCACTTCAAATAGATGAATTCATTCGGCTTCTGTAATACTATGCAATGGCAGAGTGAACTCTACCTTAATATGGTCCTTCAACATCCATGGATTCAAACATCTTATCGTGTAAATATTAACTGTTCTTCATTAATTAAATTATAGTTACTGGAGTCAGCTTATATAATGTGTAAACGCCAATATAAAAAAATATTTTCCTAAATGTTATAGAATATATCTTCACCAAATTCCTTGCATATTTGTGATATAGTTATTTGATTTGTGCATTGTCGTCATATGAAATGGCGTATGTGTGTTTGAGGTCTTTTAGAAGCCGGTATATGTTTTATCCTGAAGGCACCTGTATCACATTTTGTTTCTACCAGCCTGCTTGAGAATTCTTTTATGCTAATGGTATACACTTCTTCTGTAATAAAACAAGCAAATTAAAATAGTTCAATAGTCTCTCGGAGGAAAAAGCTGTTAGGTTTTTGTCCTTTCTTAAAGGACCACTATAGTGCCAGGAAAACATACTCGTTTTCCTGGCACTATAGTGCCCTGAGGGTGCCCCCACCCTCAGGGACCCCCTCCCGCCCGGCTCTGGAAGGGGGAAAGGGGTAATAACTTACCTTTTTCCAGCGCTGGGCGGAGAGCTCTCCCCTCCCTCCCCCGCCTGCTGATGCGCCGCTGCATGCGCCGAAATAAAGCATTTGCTTTTCTATCACTAATTTTCACAGTGAGAAGCACGCAAGCGCCTCTAGTGGCTGTCAATGAGACAGCCACTAGAGGATTAGGGGGAAGGCTTAACCCATTCATAATTATAGCAGTTTCTCTGAAACTGCTATAATTATGAAAAAATGGGTTAACCCTAGAAGGACCTGGCACCCAGACCACTTCATTAAGCTGAAGTGGTCTGGGTGCCTAGAGTGGTCCTTTAATGAATGTTTCTTACACTTTTTTTCTTGAACCTATTCCAGCACTAATTGAATTAGGGGACATTTTTCAGTCACACAATAGCACGTGCACAATCACACTGACTTGACACTGTCTGCGGTACTTTTTTTATGAGCATCATTTTGCAATAAATCTCTTGCTATTTGTGAGCTTGGCATAGAAAATAGAATCTAATGTGTCTTTTCAAATCAGTTTGGCAGGAAACAAATATGATGTGAATGAAAAGCTACATAGTCACATTGAATTTAATTTTTTTAATGAAATGCGGACATCTAGTGTATTTATAGTATATTTAGCTAATGTACAGTAATGTGCCATGGGCCAGTCATGCAGATAATGCTAAGGTAATGCTCATTTGCTCGTTAAAATAAGCTTAATTTTCTCTATCACAAAATAGTTACTTCTTCTGTTAAACTATTAATTTGTTTGTTTGTTTTTCTGTCCCCCAGATTGCTTTGAACTTTTTTTTCATTATAAATTATATTTGAATTTTTCCACTTTTGGGGGGTGCTCCTTCCTCCTTAAGCTGTACAATGATTATTTTATTGTGCTTTGGTTGCACAAACTCAAAGTTATGAACATAAAAGGATGGAGACCAGGCCACCTTAACCGTTTTAACAAACAAGTTGAAAGTAGCTTTGTTGTTATAGATTTTCTATGCACTTCCAGTGAGAACTTTAAAAACTGATTATACTATGGGGGGATTTATCAAGGCAAAACTGGTGCTATCCTGGGGAAAGTGCGAAAAATTTAATAACCACCATGAAAACCCAACATTTAGCAGTTTGTAAATGAAATAGCACCTATTTTGCCTTGATTTACGAACCCTGTGCATTGATAATATTTAAAGGAACACTTTAGTCATCAAATCACCTTTAGCTTAATGAAGCAGTTTTGGTGTATAGATTATGCTCTTGCAGTCTCAATGTTCACAATCATTTGAGATTAACTAATCAGTTGAGACTAACAATGAGTCTCCAAAGTTCTGGTTGGAAGTTGGCAGTAGACACTGTCGTCAATAGAAAATGATTATATGTTATCTCCAAAAGAACACAGTAATACTTCCCACAAGGGGGAGCAATACTTTTAACCGATCACAAATTAAAAAAAAAATAATCTAATTTGATTAGATTATTGCTCATAAAAACCCATGTTACTTGAGCTACAAAGGACTTATAAGAAATGTGTAGATCAATCAATTATTAAAAATGTACCATGAGTATATAACTTTCCCAAATAATTGAATAGACTGATCAAAATTAGAAAAAAAAAAATACTGTAGACTCCCACATAAGACATCTGTGATAGAGGGATCTAATTAAACTCTGCCATATACTAAATCAGAAAAGTCTATTAAAAATATAATTAAATTGCTAGAATGAGACTTAGCTATAATTGCATAAACACAAACTAGGTAGTACTTCTAAGATATAAGAGGAGATGAGACTTGTAGATAATGATTAGAATATGATTAAAGAGAAACACTTTATTTATCAGACTATTATAATTTGAACAGGAAATTCTTAAAGTTAATTAATCAAAATCTTAGATATTTTAATAAGGAGGCATCCTATTACATTCAATTAGACATTTATTATTCAGAATTAAGAGTAACCTAAAAGAAGGATAAGTCCTATTAGAAAGTATTTCTTTAAAGCCACAGCATAGGACTGAATTCAAGAGGTTGGTCCCATTCGAGAAAGAATTTCAAGCATTCAATTTAGATGAGTGAACCCCTAATCAAATAAAGGAGAACTCTAATTGAGAGACTAGGCAGAATATAAACTACATACAACAAAATGTAGATAGTCTACTATAAAACCATGTAAAAAGTATTATATAATTACTGCCTAAGAAGGTAATAAACATACAGAATGGTAACCTCAAATATAAAATTAAGATGATTAACCCCAATCCCAGAAAGAGGGAAAACATAATTGAAAAATAGGGCAGGGTAAACCCACTCACCAAATGGTTAATCTACTATAGTATTGATAAATCACCATATTGAATTAGAGGGTTTTTCAGCAGGTTTCCTACTATCCAAGAGAGTGTCTCTTTAAACATGGAGGGCTCTATGTTATGCTTTATTCAGGCAGCATTTCGGGTACACTCTCTCCTTGAATCTGAGGCGTAATTC